ATTTAAGAAGTGCTTATACATATGACTGGTTATTGCTAAAGTTATTGCTAAAGAAGTTATTGCTAAAGAAAAAATTCCATACTATTTCATCAGTCTGCAGTGTTAACTCTTCCCCCATACAAGATTCTATCTTTTGTAAGACAGATAACATTAACAGCCCAATAAAGTTATTGTTCTGAGCTTGCAGGCACAGAACAGACACATTCTTAAGAGTTTTGCTCAACTCGAGTTAAGGTCACAGTAATATTTAAACAAGATGTTTAATGTTTACTCTGCTTCTTGAAGATCAGTTTCTCCCTGCCACTTAACTGTCACTTTTTCCATCAATATGACCACTGGACAAAGATCCCCAAATATGTCAGCTTAATTTAAACTTTGCACAGCCCTCCCTAGTAAGTTTCAGTTCAGATATAAATTATGAAATACATATTCCAGAGATTATTTATTTTTGTCTACACAAGACGAAAGTGTCAATCTAGGACTTGCTACACCAACAAAATAAGTGCTTTGACAATAATTGGGTTGTCATAATGTCACAAGAATGTATTTTGCAGACTTGAGATACTACACTGACATAATAGGAGGTATGTCATCAACATACAACACACAAGCCTTACTTTGCAAAACTAAAGCCCTGAAAACAGGAAAACACTGAGAAGGCAGTTCAGAGGGCCTATGTTCTACCCTTAAAGCATTACATGTTTTAGAATGTTAATCAACATTAAAATAAATATGGTCTTAAAAATGTTACATCACAACCATGTTTTAATATGACCAGAGGCTCAGTTTCAATTAAGTAGCACAGTGTCTTATAAGAAAAATAGTCACTCTTGAAACCTGAGTATTAACATGCTGGGTTTTTTTAATGTTTTACTATGATACGTTAGAAGGAAATAAGATCAACAGATTTGTCACTGAAACGTAGTGTAGCACAATGCTGTACATATTTACTCATAAATCATACTAAGTTCAGTGATGCTTACTATTATTGTTTAGTGTTAGCTGTATTTGTATATTTATACTGTATGATTTATGGCTGTGTTGCATGTTGCTCTGGATGCATTTAGTAGAAGAGCCAGATGATGGTGGTGATGATGATGATGTGATTCTTTCATGTTATATATTTGCAACCTTCACAGTAGAAGCAACTCTCTACCTGTGGCAGACATTTAGAAGTTTTTTGATACAGATAATGAAAAGGGAGGATTCATGCTTAACCAAATCAGCAATTTAGCTTTTATATACATTAATTCCTTCTTAATGCATATATGATGTGCATATCCTCATATTATATAACATGCCCAGAGACTTCTACTCAATTATTGGATGAGATGGTCAGTTTACTCCTTTTTACCTTCTGACAGATTTAAATAGACACTTTTGACTTGACTAGTGAGCTCTAGGATTAGCTGTAACAGCTGTGTTTTGCTTTGTAGATGCATATCAAGCATGATAAAATGCAGAAGAATTCAGCTTTTCGGAAACCAGATACATTACCCTGCAACTGTGTCAGATAGGAAAGACACTGAGATGGCACAAGTGTTTTTAGCATGGTTTTGTGAAACAGCATAGCAATTGCACTCTAATAACCCCTGTTCACTTTGAGAAAAGATCTTTCCAAATTAGCAATTAATGTCACATTATCTCAAGTTACAGGCTAGCCTTTTAAAACAGCGTTCTTTGTAAGCAAGCAGCTAACTGACTTGTGAATTTTACAATGCAAATATGCTTGTTTGGTTTGGAAACAATTTGGGATCTATTTTACACCAAAAAAATTAGAAGCACACAATAATGTTTTATTCTACAACTGAGAAGCATATTATGATATTTCATAATAAGGGCCAGGACTGGGAATACAAGGGCACAAGCAATCTTTCATTTACTATCAGCTCAGTGATCTGAAAGTAGAGAGACATTAATTATCTTCAGTAAAATACTTTTATTTTCCTGAACTATTGTTACTTAATAACATAATTGTTTTGTTACTGCTACTGGTTCCTTTTTGTTTTATTGATTTGAAATACATTAGTGTGATTGGTTAAAATGTTTCAATTGTAAGATGCTTGAGCACATTATATGGAAAGGCAGGATGAAGAACATTTTAAACATGCTTCTTTGGAAGAAAGCCCTAGCTGCTCAGCTCTATCAGTCTCGCTTCTTTAGCTAACAAGAGACATTTTATTCTACACATTAAATCAAGGGTCAGTTCATTTTGAATATCCGGTCACCAAGCTTAGTTTTGGCCCTGGATTCAGATTCCTTTGCAGTTCATGGGTGCCTCATTTAGCAGTTTTATTCACATGCAATCTGGATTCATGACAGAAAAACAAGTAATCAAAGATTATGGTGTCTTTGGATACAAATACATAACTTAAGTGAAATTTCATTATTTTGTGAGTCCTAAACTGTACCCAAATGATAGATTCAGAATTTACAAAAAGGTTTCTTTCTGGGATTACATTTCAACTTTTGAAAATAATGTTTAAATAACCTGGCTGGCGTGCCTTCTACTTGGAGAGACAGCAACTAACTCTTGTCTGTACTTTCTGTTCCTGACACTTCCAACATAGCAGGAAGCATAAGTGTTGCTTAATACCTTGAAACCAGATAGTGTGGTGCAGGACACGCCAGTGCCCATACTGTGCCCACTGAGAAGCAGTGTCTGAGAACACCACCAGTTGGTCTGCTCCAACCCAAAGATTTCAAGAGCCAGTTATGTATCGGCACACGTGTGCAGCTATTCAACACCAAGTCACAGACACTGCCTAAAGGCATATTTTAAAAGCAGGGAACACATGGTAAACTCTCTTTCCAACTACCTCCAGGAAAGTTCAAAGATTGTAGAGGAAAAGCAACTTAATGATGCCTTTGACCTTCAACCTATACAGGTAACCAAACCTAATGTCCCAAGAGCAACAGAGAATATTTCTTGCTTAAAGAACTTCACTGGAGATTGCAGAGTCCTGGCTGGGTCACAGTAAACTAGCTGGTAAAGTATAAGATGAACTACTATTTCAACTCAATTCAATAAATGAGCACAAATCACACAGCTAGAAAACAAAAGACACTGCATGCACCAGACAAACTATTATTTGTTATAAGCCTATTTGAAATATGCCAGTGCACAGTGCTTTTAAAGAAAATGGAAGTTTGCCACAATGGGCAATAGAGCTTGATCTGTAAAAGTGAAGACATTCTAAAGCGTTGTGTAAGTGGTTTCAACACACATTTTCCTATGTTCAAAGGTATTTGTTTTCAGGCACAGAAAACCACACTTCCCACACATGTCTGTCTTTACCGTAAGACCACCAGCCTCATGCCTATAAAGATAGCAGATACACATCAACTCTTTTCTCCTTGAAATCCCTCCTTATGGCTCCAGTAAGTGGAAAGTGTTTGTGGCCACTTAAGCAGCGAAGCTGAAACAACGAAGTGTTTGTGGCACCTTAAACACTAACAAACTCGCCTAAGCTTCCACATACTATATATATAATGTGAAATGAAATCTCAGATGCACTGTTATAAAGCAGCCCCAATAAAACCTCCCACCATTATTTATTTTATTTATTAAATCTGTATACCGCCCTTCTTCTGAAGATCTCAGGACAGTTCACAGCGTAAAAATATAGGATAAAAACTCACAAAATACCTGCCCGCAGACTGTCTCGCCAGAGTGGTGCATGCTCTGGTTATCTCTCGCTTGGACTACTATAATGCGCTCTATGTGGGGCTACCTTTAAGGTGACCCAGAAACTACAACTAATCCAGAATGTGGCAGCTAGACTGGTGACTGGGAGGGGCCACCGAGACCATATAACACCGGTCTTGAAAGACCTACACTGGCTCCCAGTACGTTTCCAAGCACAATTCAAAGTGTTGGTGCTGACCTTTAAAGCCCTAAACGGCCTCGGTCCAGTATACCTGAAGGAGCGTCTCCACCTCCATCTTTCTGCCCGGACACTGAGGTCCAGCGCCGAGGGCCTTCTGGTGGTTCCCTCGCTGCGAGAAGCCAAGTTACAGGGAACCAGGCAGAGGGCCTTCTCGGTAGTAGCGCCCGCCCTGTGGAACGCCCTCCCACCAGATGTCAAAGAGAAAAATAACTACCAAACTTTTAGAAGACATCTAAAGGCAGCCCTGTTTAGGGAAGCTTTTAATGTTTAATAGGTTATTGTATTTTAGTGTTTTGTTGGAAGCTGCCCAGAGTGACTGGGGAAACCCAGCCAGGTGGGTGGGGTATAAATAATAAATTATTATTGTTATAAAAAAAACAAGAACAATACAAACCAATACCCCACACATTTTTTTTTTAAAGTTTCACTTTTCAGTAAGTGTTTCAGTCTTTATCACAAGACTTGGTGGGCCTCGGTTGCGACCGACTAACCCAGCCACCCTCTCCCCTGTGGCGGTGAAGGACAGCTGCTCAGCAGGTAGGAGCATATATATATCTGAGGGGGGCATAGCTGTCAATGTTTTCCTTTTTTTAAGGGAAATTCCCTCATTCCGAATAGGATTCCTCGCAAGAAAAGGGAAAAGTTGACAGCTATGGGGGGCATTTTTAAAAGGGCAATTCCCATTCAAATGTGTCCACCATGTCATGTGATCGATTATGCGGAGCTGGGCTTAGCTGTCCTCCCTCCCACCCCAGTATTTCATTCAAGTTGGCCCCCGTGGCTCAGCACATGCCCAGAGGCACTCGTTTCCTCCGAGTTTCCACTGAAGAACAGCTTAGAAAAGATGGGGTGTGGGGTGGGGGACAGAAAGGGAATAAACCGATCACCTGAACTGGAGTAAGCAGCCCACCAAATCCGCAAAGCCCTCAGGAGGTGGACGGAGAAGGTGAGGGGCGCCCTCCGCCAACGTCCCACCTGAGGGGAACGTAGGTCCCAACCGCCCGCCGCAGGTTCCAACCGCCGCAGGTTCCAACTGCCACACTCCGCCCCCCCCCCCCGGTCAGGTAAGCTTTGACAGGTTCTCTCTCGCGCCCTCTCAGCCTCACTCACCTGAAGCTCGCCTCGCCGCCGCCGCCTCCTGCTCCTCCTCCGCCAACCAGCCAGGCTGGGCGCCCGGTCGTCGTCGTCGTCCTCCTCCTTCTCCTCCTCTTCTTCCTCCACAGCACCTCCGAAGAAAGAGAAAGCAGCTCCTCGGGGAGGGAAGAGAAAGAAGAGGTTGATGTTTTTTAAAGCGAGGAGGAGAGAGAGAGAGAGGCGGCTCGCGCACCGGCTTCAACCGGCGCTTCTCCGGCTCGAGGCTCCGCCCCCCGCTCTTTTGTCGCGTCACGGGGAGCGTCCGCCAATGGCGGCGCGGCTGGCGGAACCGCTGACTGCTGCGCGAGGAGGGCAGCGCAGAAGGCGGGGGGGAGAGAGGGAGATGGAGGGAGGGGATAGAGGAGGAGGAGGCGAGGGTGGGGGTGTGGAACAATGGGAGGTGGCGGCTTGGAGGGGGGGGTGACTGAGACAAAAGGAGCCTGCGAGCAGTTATCGCGCGTACACGCGCGCGAGAGACGCTCTTCGGCCCGCCTCGTTCCACCCTCAGGGAGACGTGCGCGCATGTGGGAATGGGCCTCAGAGCACCCCGCGCCGGGGTTGCCACGCGCCCGGAATTTCCCGGACGCGCGCGGGGTGTGTGTGGGTTATAATCTGGGTGGGAAATGGGGTAAACGTCCGGGAAAGTATGGTAGCCGTTGTCGGCAGTGCTGTTTGCGCCGATTTGCCATAAAAGTAGCTCAGAAACCGCATGGGGTGCCGTGCTTTTTAACACGTGCCTGAAACACATGGGATGTTTGGGCTGCAGCGTCTGTTCCATCTAAAAATTCCAAGGGAGGAGAGGCTTTAGAAAGTGGCACTTAATAGCAATTTTTAGGGTGGGTGTGGGCAAACAAACTGACATTAAATCCAGGTAAGATGGAGGTGCTGTAGACTCTGCTGGATGGTGGCTGCCAGGAGATCAGATCACATAAACACCATTGTCACTGGTCGCTAGTGCATTTCCAGACTGAACCTAAAAGTGTTGGTTTCAACATTTAAAGCCCTAAATAATTTGGACCAAAGCCCAATGGAAGGACTGCCTGCCTGCTCCCATACTGATTTTCCTGCTTTACTCTTTAAGATCAAAAATGGACAGACAAGTCAGTTGGGAGAGGGCGGCTAAGCTCCCATTTCTGCAGCTGACCCAGCAGGATGCTTTCTTCTGCCTCCAGTTCCTGTTTCTCCCACTGCAAAAGAAAACAGGTGGCTAGGCAGAGTTGCACGAAAGGTAGGCATACAAACTACAGCCTTTCCTCAGCATGAATTGACTATATCTCAGTTGGAATCTCTTCAATTAGCACTGTTATGAAGCTCTTCCTTGACTGGAGAAGATGCAGGTATGTTTAAGTCTTGCCTGGCAACTATAGCAACTGACAGCCTGCTTTGCTCTTGCATAAAGTGTTCAGTCTGAAAGCAGTACCTCTCTCTCCGCCAAAAAAAATGTGGATTAACGGGCTCACTGATAGTTTACAGTCTGCCGAGATTCCTAACTACAACTCTCTTTAAAACACAAGCCTTAACTGGACTATAGGATATCACAAAACAAAAACCACACCTAGAGCTTTTTGCTCACATCTGCAGCTTTGCCACTTGCCACAGTGGAAAATTGTGGCGTTATTGTTTTGCATCATTTTTTTCCTGTCCTATCAGGTCCTTCTCTGAGAAGCAACCCAGTCTTGGATCCAGCCCTACTCTACCCCTAATGCCTTGTTTTGTAGCCTTACGATTGGCTACTGACGGTGGAAACCCCAATCAGTAGTAGCATGTGTTCTGCTCTGTTTTTGGAAGGCATAGTGAGAGCTTCCACTTGGCAAGCACAGAGGAAGCAATAAATAATTCCATAACAGCCAAAGGAGCTTCTCTGCTGGCAGAAGGATACCTTTGCCTCATCCTATCCCCTTTCAGCAGTGTGGCTCAGGGATTATGATTGTTTTGTAAAGCAAGTAGAAATATGCTCCTTGTTCCTTCAAATATAAACATCCAAGCTTTTCTATAACTGTGCTGTTGCACCCAAATTTCCTCTATGGAGTTCCCATTTGCCTTTTATAAGATTCCCCCTTCTCCCCACGTTTCATCCCCCCACTGTTCTCCCCCTAAATTCAAGAACTCCCAGTTGTGCCATATAAATCTTTGTTTCCCCCTTTCATTAAACTGAGTGCATTTGGGTTTTTTCCAATAAAAAGCTTAAAGAGCTCTCAGCTGTGATGTGCTTGAACTTGCTTTCTGCTAATACGTTGAGGGATGTGGTATAAAAGGGAATTTTTGGCCACACAGAATTGCCAGTACATGTTCCAGGGGCAACATTGCCCATCCTTGTTTGCCCCTGAGCAAAGCATGTACCTGCATGATGCCTTTCCACCAAATCCAGGTTGAAAGCAGCTATGTCCTTAAATATGTACGTGCATTTAGTTGTGGATGAGGTCAACCCAATAAGTCAGAGCTAATGATAGTGGGGGAATCAAAGGACCAATTGAATGGGGGGAAATTATGTAAGGGCAGGGTTACACTTTCCTGTAAAGATCAGGTTTGCAGCTTGAGAGTACTGCTGGACTCAACATTACTTCTGGAGTTCCAGGGGGTAGCTGCTGTCTGGAAGGCCTTTTATTAGCTCGGCCTGATATGCTAAGTATCCCTGCTGAGACACAGCAGACATGGCAACTGCCAGTTTTTTGTTTCAATAATTTTTATTAAAGATTTATTGTCTGTGGTTGGCTGCAGTGAGGTTTGCTTGCATTTGTTGACTATCATAATGCTCTCTGCTGTATTAGGCAGCCTTTGAAGATGGTTAAAGAACTTCAGCTATTCAGATGGCTTATTTTTAATAGGCTTGGTTCAATATGATCACGTTTCACCTATTGTGTGATTGCTGCACTGACATTTAAAATCAGAGTGCCAGTTTATTTTACAGAACATTGCTACTCTTGCTTTGAAAATATCAAAGCCAGCACACTTCATTTGGTAAGCCATATTTATCTCATGTCGGATTTAGTTCCAAGGAAACAGGAATAGAGCTGCAAAACTGTATTTAATACTAGCAATAAAGAGGAAGTAAGTAGTTCCCCTTCTCATGTAAATCTGGATCACCAGCCATGCTTCACAATGCTGGGATAAAAAGAGAAACGTCATTATGAAAGGATACTATCTTTCAGATCAGGAAGAGTACATCTGCTACTGCAGAAAATATTGGTTTCAGTTTTAGCACTCAAGTGTGGATGCTCAGAAATGCGTGATTAGTTGTTGCACTTAGCTGCAGAATCTGTTTGTCTTACAAGCGTCATAGTGGTGCACGCTACCCACTTCCCTAAGTGACAAGGAATTCCAGAAACAGCAGATTTCCATCAAAATTCTGAGAAGGGTTTTTAGTTACAATGAACATACATCAGCAAGAATAAAATGTTTTAAAAATTGAGATTTCCTCCTAAAGCCCATATTCACAGAGCTTTATGGCACGCTGCCCTCTACTGGCCCATTTGTTGAGGTGATTTGAAGACCAAATAACTTTCTCAAAGTGTGCAAAATACTTTTATTCGATCAATGTATGAGGCTACCTATGAATGAGCCCAACTGATGGGCTGTCATCAAGCTCAGGATTGTAATGACTTATGATGGTTGCACTGGGTTTCTAATGGGAGTATTGTGCATTACAGGTGTTACGTTAGCTGTCCCAGGCTGTTGTGAATAGTAACATTTTGCACACGTTTAAGTTTTAATGTAATTGTCTCAGGGTGTACTTTTGCCTCCAATGCGCTTCCACCACTGGTTTGGGAAATGATGTATACACAAAGTAAGCCACAATCCACATCTATCCTGTTGTTGGTTATGAAATACTTTGTTTTGATCTATTTTTTCCCAAAACTAGGTTCAAACTGAGAAAAATAAGGACTTAGCTGAGTTTTAAGTTGGTAAGGTGCGTGCACACAGCCTATGAATCAAAGTTGACTCGAGCAGCAGCTTCACAAGGAAGTGGCATTTCTCTCTTTCCATCTCTGTAGGACAACTGGGTTGTGGGGAGAAGAGCTCTAGTCCTGAGCAGGTGGTAGAGGCATCGTTTTGATTTTTCACTTTACAAGGTGAAAAGATCTATGTACGGTACAGAAAACAAATTACAGTGCAAGAAGGAACATAGCTTTTATTTGTAATTTTACAGGAAAGGCTTATGCTCGCAACTGTCCTCAAGCAAGGTCATTTTCTACCTAAGAATTGCCCCAGAGCCCTATTCGCACTTAACACGGTGCATGCCTCCCTTTGTTTATTCAAGATAAACAAGCTTTGGAAGAGGCAATAAAATGTGTGGCTCCATGATCTTCTGCACGCACTTCTGTGCATTGCTGTTTCACTCAGAAGGCAGAGTCCAGTTAGCCTCACTCCCAAGAAAGTGTACACAGGATTTTAGCCTTGTTCAAATACTAGTTAGCAGGCCCAGCTCCATCTCCTGCACTCCTTGGGAAAGTGTTGTGGGTAGGGACTAAAGGCCAGCTCATTATACAGTCAGAAGACTTGGCAAACTTTTCCTTGGACTGTGCTACTTCAACCTGCCAGTACCATATTGCATATTTTTTAGTGTTTCTCCACAGGTAAAACTTCTCACATGAACACCATGCCAGGAAAAGACTAGGCCAGTGGTTCTGCAGATCCCCACGTTTTTCAAAAGCCAATCCATGGACCCCCTAATTTTGAAAATTTTGATAACTCTATTTTAGTTAATGATGCCACAGACTCCCTGGGGTCTGCGGACCACCAGCTGGGAACCAATGGACTAGACCAGAGCTTTCCAAGTTGTGTGTCGCAACACATTGTGTCGGCTGCAGTGTGTAGTTGTGTCATGCAAACGCTCCCCACGCTCCTCCAGGGGCTGGAAAGGGGTTAGTTTAACCTCCAGTTTGCTAATAAAACCGAATTACTGTGTTGCGAAATGATGCATGTCTAAAAAGTGTGTTACCAACATGAAAAGTCTGGAAAGCTCTGGATCAGACTGATCCTTTCTCCCTGGCATGGCAGTTTTGTACGAACAATATTTTTTTCAAGGGGGGGCACATGCCGCACTCTGACATTGTGAGTGTGGGTGTGTGGGGTACAGCGAGAGCTTCATTTAGCAAAAAAGAAAAAAGAAAGAAGGAAAAATAGACGCTAAACAGCAAAACAGCCATTGGTCATGGGCGTAGCTTGCCCCCCAAATCAAGTAAATAAATAAAAATACTTAACGAAAAGTAGAAATTATAGAAAGGTTTTGACAGATTTTTTCCGAGCACTTGGGGGGAGTCGAAAGTACCTTAAAACAACCGTGGCTGAGACATTTCATTCCAAATCTGCCAGACAGAGGATGATGACAGGTGGGTATCCTTCTCCCCTGCCCTAAACCTAATGATGCAAATGGCATAGAAGGAGACAAAATCACATCTTATAAACAATAAAATGCTGTGAAAAACAAGATTTCGGACATATGCAAAATGCTGGAGCCGCAATGCTAAGGCAGAAATGCTTGAGCGGAGACAAAAGGTTTTCCTTCATACCCATGGTGGGAGCTTGGCCTGTTTCAAGAAGAAGCTTGATTAATAATAATAATATGTTATATTACTTATTATTCCCTAGCCACTCTCTGCTCCTTTACCTAGTGCCTGCTGCATGTACAGAGATTAGCGAAGGTTGCAAACTGCCTGCGGGAGAGAAAATGCAGAACGGCGGCGGAGACCCCCAGCTTTCCCCGAGGCCGCAGCCGAGCCCAGCCGCCCCACGGCGCCAGGAAACAACCGAGCGGCTCCTGCTCTCGCCGCGGCCTAGTTAGCCCCTCCTCCCCTGCTCCTTCGTCTTCTCCGCCTTTCTCCTAAAAAACCCCCCACACGCCATATATCCGGGACAAGCGAGGTAAGCGAGTCGTCGCTTTCCTTCCCACCCCCCCGGACCCGCCGGCACGCGGCTGAGGGGAGATAGGAGGAGGAGGCCGCGCTCCGACCCGCCGCCGTCCTTTTCCTGAACTTTTTGCCCCGCCAGCTTCGGGTCGACCGCCGCTAACGAGGCTTCTCGTCCCTTCACACGTTAAATATGAGGGGAGGAAAGGGGACAAAATGGCCTCGGGGGAGCCTCCTGGAAATAAGAGGATACCTGCACCTTCAGGAGGGAGGAGGCGAGAGACCCGGAGGCGGGCGAGGAAGGAGAAGCCCCTAACCTTGAGGGGGCCAAAGGGCAGGGGAAGCCCGCGTGGTGGGAGCAGTAGTAAGGATAATAATTTTAATATTTTTCTCTCTGGAGGTGGAGGAAAGGAGTATTGGCAAGGCTTCGTTTGGGCGGCTGAATTCTTCCTCCCCCCGCCAAAAAAACCCCTCAGACTTGGGAGTTTGAATTAAGCAAATAATGCGATTTATTTAATAAATAATCTCAGAAGCGGGCGTTTAATTTTTAGGCAGGAGTGCTTGCCGAATGCACATGCCGACCCACTCTCTTCCAGAATGCTGGGAACTGTAGTTTAAGGGTGCTGGGAATTGTAGTTTAGCAAGAGGTACAGTGCTGGATTAAACCCCTAGGCAGTCGAAATCTCGCTCCCACCCCCCGCCCGACAAATTATATCGCAATACTTCATTGTAATTTTATTTTAAGATCAAATAGACATATTTTGATCTGTTGTTGCAGGGCCCCTAAAAGGCCCATAGGCCGGGGTTACACCTGCCAATCCACTCCCCCTGAATCCTGGGAAATGTAATTTAAGGTTGCTGGGAATTGTAGCGACATCGGTTGTCATACTTTTGGATTTTCCTGGATATTCCGCCCGGACACTGCTTTTGACTCCAGTGGAAATTCCAGACATATGGCAGCCCTATACTCTGCCTATTTGGTAACCCAGCACTGGAGGGGTAAACTTAAGCTCCCAAGGAAGGGTTTAATGAAATTGAGGGAACGTGGCCTGCCTCTAGGGTCTTTCTATTTTGTGCTGAGATTCAGTTTGCATATTGGCAGTTTCAGGTTATGCAAGGGAAGTGGGTTTGGTGCTCACGTGTGACAAAAAACATCTTCCTAAAGAAATCGGACGGCTTGTAGTAAGGAAAAGGTGTGGAGAAATGCACTTGAAGGTGTAGGATAACAATGGCTTGACGAGACGTTGTATAGCCTCTCTTGCAAACAAATTGGAATGAATGTTCAGTAAACAGTGGGCATTGTATAACTGCTCAGCAAGTCAGGATGAATACTCAGTAGATAGGTCATATGAAAGTGACCTAGATTATTGGATCCTAATGGTACTAAGTGTTTTTATTTTGGGTAACAGTCTCATAATGTAACATTCCTCAGTTTCCGGGGTGATGAATTTTACAGCTGGCTGTATTGCATAATGCACATAGTATCTCAAAGAAGTAGTTTAAAATATATTTTGATTCTAAAGCGTCAGTCAGTATAGCCAGTAGTTGGGGATGAGGGAGCTTTAGACCAGTGGTCTCCCCCCTTTTTTTACCCATGTAACGCTTGAAAATTGCTGAGGGTCTTGGCAGACATCTTAATTCTTTTTCTGCCTGTTACAGCAATTGTAACATGCTATGCTAGATGCTGAATAATTTTAAGTTGTATATTTATTTTGTTTCATATATATTGTATGAAGTACAGTATCAGAATTAAAAGAAGCAAGAAAAATACAATTAACCAATATGCGATGGATGTGCCATCTCCTGTCTTCAGCCACAAATCCACAGACATGCCACAGAATGAATGGCGCTCACAGATGGTTGTTGATCCACAGTTTGGCAACCCTTGCTGTAGACCCACAACTTTCAGAAGGTCATAGTTCTCCCACTGGCAGTAGGCTGTGGAAGACCTTGTGGGACGCCAGTGGCTTTGTATTACCTGGATCCAAAGTCCCCCAGGTCCCCTCAAGAGACTTGATTCTTGGGCTGTCGGCTGTACCAGCAAAAAAAATGACACTTCTCAACATCCACCCAGTCTGGTGCAAGCAGGATGGCTTCAGTTGTGGATCTGCTGCTCTGCCTTGCTGATCCTGGCTAGGAATTAGGCTTGTTCTGAATGAACATGCATGCTGACTGGTTTCTGTAATCTTAGAAACATAGTGATTTATACTTAGAGTACTGACTGACTCAGTTGCAAGGATCAGGTAGTTACTAAGCCTAAAATAGGAGTGAAAGCTTACCTAGATGGATGAGTATATGGCATGTGTGATGACTTTCAAGTCCTGTGCTCCTCCTATCTATCCTTAATATAAGCACATGTAAGGCTTATATCAACAGAAAGGGAGCAGGTGGTGCTGTGGTCTAAACCACTGAGCCTCTTGGGCTTTCCGATCAGAAGGTTGGTGGTTCAAGTCAGCGCGACAGAGTGAGCTCCCGTTGCTCTGTTCCAGCTTCTGCCAACCTAGCAGTTCAAAAGCACACCAGTGCAAGTAGATAAATAAGTAGTGCTGCGGTGGGAAGGTAAACAGCATTTCTGTGTGCTCTGGCACTCTTTACGGTGTCCTGTTGCACCAGAAGCGGTTTAGTCATGCTGGCCACATGACCTGGAAAGCTGTCTTTGGACAAACGCCGGCTCCCTCAGCCTGAAAGTGAGATGAGCACCGCACCCCATAGTCAAGTTTGACTGGTCTTAACTGTCCGGCGGTCCTTTACCTATATCAACAGACATGCCACATAGGGATTTAAGTTACACTGAAGAATAGTTATACAATTATGGTCTGGTATTTGGCACTATTGTTTGTGTGTAGTTGTTTCATTCATGCACTTATAAACTTATTGTTATGCAGGCATGTTCTTTGCTCAGCAATGCTTCAGCTACCTTGGCACTAGAACATCACTACTGAAGATTACTTACCCTTTGAGATACTTCAGGGTTTCATCCTCTCCTGTATGTATTCCATATCTTCATAGCTTATGTGATTGTATGTGCATATTGTTATATTATTTATGATTCACTCACGTCCACGATCCTGAATTTGGAGATCTGGTTTTGTTTAATGTCTTTGTTTTGCTTTGTTTTACAAGTGTTGCCAGACACTTGTAAACCAATTCACCTTTTGCAGTGAGCAAGTTTGTGCAAGACAGTATTTTCTTCTGCTTTCTTCTATTCTTATTGCAGAAGGTATCAATTGGAACACTGTTGGTATTGACCATAAGTTAAAATAACAATAATTTTAGTAGTAGACCAGTATGACTATATAGATGTGTCATTCTCTAAGGTGCTGCAAGACTCTTGGTTAATTTAACTCTGAGAGATATGTTTAAAAAGAACCTTGGTAAAGGCAGTTTTTTTCTTCCTTTTGTTTTCCTTACCACCTGTAACAGCTTAAGCTACATCATCTATCTTTTTTATTTATTACATTTCATCAAATTGTATGTAGAGGTCCGGAATGTGGAGTCACTAGGTTGGCTTGGATGTTAAAAAAAATATCCTTGCCTTTCAGACATTCATGAAGCAGTTCAAGATTTGGATTGAAAAATAGTGTTCTGGAGTATACATATACTGTATAGCCAGCACAATAGAATGAAGGTCACCCAAATAGTGCTTCCTTTTATCTGGACTGCGGTTATGTCACTTGGTGTGTGTTGAACATACATATTCTTTACATATATGTTCCATTTGTTGAACAGCTTTGATGTTACTTTGTGGAATTTCTCTCAATGATTTTTTTTAAAAAAAACCTTTAATACTATGATATTGTCTGTTACAGCCTTTAAATACGTTGCTGGTACTTGAGTTTTGTGTTGGACAACCTTAGCTTTTAAAATAGTGGTTAAAAACCCTAGTTTTTAATAGATCCACAAAAATTCTAGGAAAACAAAGGAAGGGGGTTATTTTTTCTTTGGGAAAGTGGAAAAACAGTTTTCCAGCTATTGTTTGTTCAGGACGGACTGAGTGGCACAACCAGTGGGGTGTAGCAGATTCTTTCCTCATATGATGGAGAGAACATAGAGCCAGGCGCCATAATTTTGTGAAGACAGATCCTATTACCTACACACAGGTTTTTATTAATCTGTCTTATGCACATAGCCTAGCCTTTGCAATTCTGCTCTGTCCGTTACTTTGACTTCACCACTGTCTTTGAAAAACAAGATATATGAATCACATTTCCTCTACCCCTTGGTTCTCAAGTAAGTGCTAAAAGATTGTGCTCTGACATACATCTATGATATACTCTGTCCTTCTTAGACTGGGTTTGAACAGAACTTATATTTAATCTTAACCATTCTATTTAGTATCCTTGCATAGATTGGCATTTTGTCAAACATGTATTGTAAGAGAATATTGGTTAATTGTTACATTGAACTGTGTTTGCAGCGCCTGTCAGTTTCATCAGCTTTAGAATGAATTACAAGGAGAAATGTCATGGATTACCATAGTGTCCAACAATACAGTACTTTGTAGTTCTAACAAGAATTATCCATCTTTGATTCTTGTATGTAGACCATGACCTTCAAGCACAAAAATGCAAAACGAATTGAAGGGCTGGATAGCAATGTGTGGTAAGTAATTATTAATGAAAATGAATGAATGGATGAACGAATGAATAATGAAAATGTCTGTACGCCTTGTAGTTCATTTGTATGCTTTTCACCTACATTGTCAGCTGACCAGGTGCAGGGCCAGGGTGGGGGGCCGGGAGAGAAACCTCTTGGTCAGTGAAGCCACTGGGAGTGGGCTCCAGGCTTTTGTGTGCTCCTCCCCTCTATTCACCTCTTCCCTACAAATTAATCTCTTTGTTCCTTTTATGGTTAAAAGATCTTGGATGAATCACAGTGATAATTACTGGTTGTGCACCCTCTGAGTCTGCAGAACAACTCTGCTAGGACTACAATGTTTAAATAATGGGGGCAGGGTCAATTTTAGCCAACAGACAGATAAGGTGATTCTGGTTTTGTTTATGAGGCTATTTTGGTTCTAATTTGCTACATTTATAAAGAAAAATGAAATAATAATCCTCTGTCAACTGCGGGGAGGGTCAAATGTACTCTCAGCAGCATTGGGGGGGAAACATTGGTCTTCCATAATTCAGTGTTCTTGTTGGTCCTCAACCAAGATGATTTTTGAATTGCCCTTTGGTGCTTCAGAAGTGGTTATGTCACATCACGTGTTTCGGCTTAATAGATGTTACTGGAAGTGGAGGATGAGGCACAGAAGCTGTGTAATGCTTATGGCACCTAGTTCTAGCCTGAAAGCCTGACTTAAAACTAGACAGATGGCAATGAGGCCTCCAGGATCTCTGATTAACTAATATCTGATAGAATGCTCTCTGGGTGGTTTCCTACAGACCCATGTGTTCTATACTGTGTTTTTGATTTACCATGGATCCGAAATATTCTTCCCTGTAAATGTGTATGAAATACATTTGTAATCATTTCTTCCTTCCTTAGGGTGGAATTTACAAAAGTTGCTGCAGATCCCTCAATCGTTAATCTGGGACAAGGACTTCCAGATATATCTCCTCCTAACTATGTTAAAGAAGCATTAGCCAAAGCATCCTCTGTGGATATGCTGAACCAGTACACCCGGGGTTTTGTGAGTACATCTTAACGCTCTCTGAGAGGTTGCTTTAAATTAGTTGCATATCCAAACATTTTCTCATGGTTTCCACATGCGCCTTCTTCATTTTGGATTCTTGGGCTGAATAGAAAGCACGGTAACCATAAATCTCCAAACAGTGGCCAATGTAAATATGGTCCAAAGAGGACTATACGTAGGGCCAGGAGAACTGACTATGTAATTGAATCAAACTTCCCAATGTAACATTATTAATCTATATAGTACATTTCAGCATACAGGGCACTACACTTTGGCTTTCTTGCACATAATGCTTAACCATGGTTTGGCATTATGAAGATGAGCCTCAAGGAGTAGTTCAAAAGATTCGACTTCTGTTTTTGATTAACCGCAGCTTCTTGTGATGTTCAACCCCCACACACTGTGGTTAATCATTCATTGAAACAAGCCAGCTTCAAATCATGGGTTGTGAACTGGGCTTGTTTTAATTAGACTGTAGTTAAAATGAAGCCGTTTGTCTGGACATAATGCTAAACTGCAATTAACTTAAAGCTTCCAATCTTCTCTTGCAGCTGCACGGAGAAGGGAGCGGGGGGGGGGGGGGAGAAGGACAGGAGCCTGAGATTTGCTTTGGTTCATCCTTGTAACATTAAACCATGGTTTATATGCAAATACAGCCAATTCCTTTCTTGTTCTTCACCATGGTGCAATATGAGCATTCATCAGAGGGTAGTTACTCCTTTTTCAGTGACCCATGAATGGCAGTATAACTGTTTCTAGAAATTTATATGTGTTACGAACATTTTTGTTCCACATTATTTTTTCTTCAAAGGGTCACGGTCATAGATCCTTACTGATAGTACACACAATTCCCAGCTTGTGATCTTGCACAAAGACTCCTATTCAGTGGAAGGCTGGTTGTGCAGAAGAGATTCCATGTGAACTGTGCCTTATATTGTTTTTCTTGTTCAGCTCAGTATAGTAGGTTTTCTCCTAGACGTGATGACAGTTTCTAATTGTTTAAATCTTTAGAATGGTATGTCTAATTGGGTAACTCTGTTTTGTGCATCAGCCATGCTAGATTTGGCTAACAGACAATACTGTATTATTTGTCGGTTGTTTGTTATTAACTGGCATAAGAGTCTATGTATTTTCTCTTGCGTTCATAGGGACATCCTTCGTTGGTGAAAGTCTTGTCCCAAGTGTATGAAAAAGTTTGTGGAAGAAAGATTGATCCATACACTGATATCCTGGTGACAATAGGGGGATATGGATCTCTGTTCAGTGCAGTGCAGGGACTCATTGAAGTAGAAGATGAAGTAAGTTTTGTGATGCATCCCAGAATAAAAACAACTCTCTTCTATGAAAACATATGTATGTACACATACTCCTTAGAACATGGGTAGCATTCCAATAGTAAGTGATCAAGCCTACTCAGAAATCCCTTTCCTTGGCAGCTTGATGGTTTATTGAAGGGTAGAGAGCTGACTTTCGTTAGTTTTGGTTGAATAAGAAATCAACTTTGAAGCAGGGCTTTTTTTTTACCTGCCAGATTCCTATGCCTTTAAGAGTATGTTGATGCACCTTAATTTAGCAGATGAAGGATTTCTTCGCATTGGGATAAAGTTATAGAAAAAGCCTCAGCTGCTTAACTATTGTGCATTAGGTTGCTGTTGAAGGCAGGATAAAGAGACTAGTGTTGTTCTTTAAGCAACTCTATGTCTGAGATGAATTGTCCATCAATCTACCACTTAATTATCAACCTGTTGTAAATTAGCTTCCTTGGCTACTCCCCGGTACAGCTGAAAAAAATCCTAGGTGCTTGTCCTTTTAGATGCCTAGAACATTGGTCCTGAACTCTTCAAAACTTGAAATATTTCCCAACTTCAAACCCTGTTCTTTTTTCTTGAGTTGTATAAGTTTGTCAATAATGGGGATCTGTAAGCACTTAGGGTAGGGTGGGTTTTAAATCAAATAGCCTGCCTCATTTGGGGTAAAACTGGCAATGAAGCGATAGCTAGCTACCTTCTGATATTTTGTCTTTTCACTTTTGCTTTATGTGTCTCCCTCGTCCCTTCAGTTCTGCTGCCATTATTATAAATCTTCACTTATTTCCTATTATCCCCAGCACACAAAAGCAGCCACTGTGAAGTAGCAGTGGCTGTGGCATTTACAGATATACTTATACTACCCCGTGTTTGTTGACAAGAAGTACTTTTAATGCAATGTGCTTTCCTAAATATATAGAATTAGCATTGTGTCAGATCAAAAGCGGGTTCTGTCTTTGAAGAAAGGTACAATATCATTTCTTACTCAAATAAGTTTCCTATATGTTTACTTTAGGTGATAATAATAGAACCCTTCTTTGACTGTTATGAGCCAATGGTGAGGATGGCAGGAGCCAAGCCTGTTTTTATACCCTTGAGATATGTGAGTGTGTTTAGAATATTATTATAATCAGAGTTTATTTAGATAGGGGAATGAAGAGAAGTGTTGCACCTTGCAGTTTTTCATAATGAAGGTTATTTCTTTCCTATGTTACTCTGCTTTGTGTGCTCAGTGAGAAACAGAATGGATCCAGTAAACAGATTAATAACAACAAGAAAGCAATGCCTCCCAAAAGTCTAGAATTAAATGATAGAAGCCCAAATAGGAGATGGGTTTCAATAATTTAACTTAAGATTGCTCAGTGGCCTTGCTTTAAATGTCAAAGCCACATTAACTTTCAAAAACTGAGGGGTGTGAGCAGGCTAGCTAATTAATTTATTCAGCTTCAAACATCCTTAAGTGCTTTTGTCTGTAACAGTATTTAAAGTGGTACTTAAGACCACAGTGGTAGATGGTAATTCTGGTCCCCCCTGGTTTTTTATAGTAGTAGTTTTGGATTCTTAGAAATGCATTGCTGCTATATGGAACACTTAATCTTTTAATCGATTTTGATGGCTAGATCTAGTGGGTCAGAGGAATCGTCATTGGAAAGTCCCAAATGATATGAATGACCTTTTTTTTGTTACTGATCAGAATTTGAGGTTTCTATGCAGTTTACTCATGTATTTTGTATAGTTGAATGATTCTTAGGGTAAGATCACTAGTGGAACGTTTAAAGAAAGTTTATTTCAGCCTAATAAAACATCTTTCCCCCTATAACACAGAGACCTGCAGCCGGAGAGACTGCCTCTAGTGCGGACTGGGTCTTGGATCCTGCTGAACTTGCAAGTAAATTTAATTGCAAGACGAAAGCTATTATATTGAATAACCCTCACAATCCTATAGGAAAGGTGCGATTCCTGTTTTTAAATCTGCCTGCTAAATGTTATAAAATGTTGGCTCTGACGATATTGATTAATACATTGTTTTATTTCTCTTTCTATTTTAGGTCTATACGAAAGAAGAGCTCCAGATGATTGCTGATCTCTGTATTAAATATGACACCCTGTGCATCAGTGATGAAGTATACGAATGGCTGGTATACACTGGCAATAAACACATTAAGATAGGTACTGAATTGTATGGTAGTCAATAGGAAACGTATGTGTACATTTCATTCAAGTGGTTCCTTCTTTCATATCTATAAAAATAGTTCCTATTCCTTGTTGAGTTTAAAGTTACAGCTAACCTGAGAGAGCTACGTGCATTATTTTATTATTACCCAGTCCTCCTAAAGTATTTTCTGCCCCTTCAGTTTGGTATAATCTATATCCTTGATAAATATAATGCCCAGTACTTCCTCAAAATTTTGAAGATATTGATCTGCAATGGACCGATCATTGAGCCTTTGAAAATTAAGCAGGATGCATTCTTCCAGCATTTGAGACGTGTTAGTTTGTAGACTGGAAATGGGCAATAAAGTATTGCTGCCGGTTTAAAATTAGGTATTTTATAAAAGCTCATTAATAGTATTTTGTAGACTAGCTATAATTCTGAAGTATAGGACTATATTACCTTATTAAAATGAATTACTTTTGTATTTCTCAATTTGCAGCTCCCATGTTTGACATGTAATTTCCTACTGATCTTAATATTTGTACAGTCTTGAATGTTCACTTTGGATGCCTTAATGCATCTCTGTCCTCCAATGGACCTTGGCGGGAACGGGAAAAAAATCTATTATTTCAGTTGCATGCTCAACTTATCAATGGGAGAAGCATTCCTGATGGACACAGGCATTTTTATCACCCAGCAGATAATATGTACAAAACGCTCTGCTAAATTATTCAAAATAATAGCATTTGGCCACCAGTGCTTTTCATTTGCTCACTTTTAAGCAGATCCCCAAAACAGTTTTCCAATCTGTTGTTGAAACCTACAAACCATTAAACCTACAGGCAAGTGACCGTTATTTTATAAACTAAGCAGAACTCTTTTCTCCCAAGAAACCTTATTTTCTCTAGCTTGTATAACATGCACATAAAGATTGTGCAAAGAGGAGAACACAAATCCTCCCCCCAGAGGCAGAGATGTTCTTGTATTAAGCTTCACGTATTCCATCAGCTGAAATGACACATTGCTTGTGAAAAATGTGAAATGAATATTGCATCAATTTACAGCATCTGGTGGTGGCTCTCTAATATTTATCTAATAGAGGTTGCCAGTGATAGATCATAAAATCAGCATAGTATTTGTGCTGTCATCTAGGCAGTTTCCCCTGGTATAGAACACTTCGTCATTTCTCTTATCTAGCTTGGGCAAAACAGGAGCTTCATGTGACTAATGATTAGAGTTCCACTGGCAGATTTAAAGATTGCATATTGTAAGCAAAGATTCTTCTGGCGCCTCAACAGGCATAGTGCTTATTTGCGTAATATGTATGTATGTAGCCTTACTAATAGTTCTTGGTGCTTGCTCAGATACAAAAATGCATTCTGTTCTTCTGTAGCTTAATACAATGAAGGTTCTTGTCCTTTGTTCACAAAATATTTATTCTAAAAGTCACCTGATGGATTGTGTGACTCCCCAGCAGTCTTCTGAAAATGAGCTGGCTAGCTGTTTGCTCCACAAATTGATAATCTCTTGTTTTAGATTTGCTAAATGTAATTGCAGCCCATGGTGATGGCTGGAATTCATCACAGAACTACGCATTACAGAATGTGTTCCCTTCTCCTTGTCTGCAGCACATAGCATCACTGCAGCACATAGCATTACTTGTCGTTTTCCTCCATTGGTAACCAGTGATGTCAAGTGATGGCTGGACAACCTGATGATGCCACAGCATGAGTTAATGCTGTGTCACCTATAACTTGTACCTCCACCCTAACATGGGTTGCAGGAAAATACTCTTACGGGTTTTTTTAAAAAATTATATTGGATGTGTGTGTATTTTGTGTGCTACACCGTTATATGGGATTTAGGAACAATTTTACTCTTTCAGTTCAATACCAACAACAAAGAGCTCATCTGAATGACCTGATAAAATGATTGAGACCTCTCTGGTGTGGACATACCCTCATGTGTCACAAGATGCCTGAATGAGGGTATGAGTAAAGGAACAATGTGCTTTCAGTACATACCCATTTAGTTTGAACATAATGAAGCCAGCTTCATACTTATCCATATATGTTCCTTGTAGGATGCATGATTAAAACATACCTATTTATTGTTAGAGAGGTAAAGGTTGTTAGCTCCGTTCGTATGTAATTAATGCCTTGATCCTTTTCTTTCTTTCTTTTTTCACAGCTACTTTGCCTGGAATGTGGGAAAGAACAGTAACTGTAGGAAGTGCTGGAAAAACATACAGTGTAACTGGCTGGAAGGTAAGTGAACAGAATAAGACATAATGCAAATGAAGAATCATATATGTTGAAGTACCACTGGGTTGACGTACCATGGAGATCATTTGCTAGCGTGCACAAGCTATACGAAACACGTGCAGAATCTGTATTAAAAACTAACCCCTGACATTATAGAAATTCTAGATGCCGTCCATACAGGATATTCCACTCAGAACTTAGAAATCCTACTGTTTACATTTTGAACAGGCGATCAGTATGTACGTTGTAAACAGTAAGCCTTTCCAGTTTGCACATTTTTTGAAGACCTTGTGCTTGCTATGCCAGTTCCAATGTTAGATGCAGAAGGTGGTGGTTGCTGGCGGCACGTTTCGCATGAGAAAATCAGGCCAGGATCCGACAAACTACAAGGAGACTTCTGCAGGTGCACTAAGCTCTTTTGGGCTTCTTATCCCCACTGCCTGACTGAAAAGGTATCATAAAATGTTGGGGGCTTCCCCAACACAGGAAAATACACATGGGGTTTCATCCAAAAACAGAACCATGCAAAGTCCCATGTGTGTATGCAAACTTACCTTAGGCATGGCTATGTAGCTCTCTCTTGGAAGCAGAGTTAGGCAAGTGCATGCTGTAACTTCAGTATTGTGCGTCTTTTGGTAATTTTTATTTTGTGAAAACTATAAATACAATATGTATACACAAACAGGCTCATGAACAGATAAATAAATGCACCCATGCTTAATTTTTGTAACATTTTTGGAGAACATAATTTTCATTTTTCTTGGCAGGGATTTATTTTAATTGCAGAGCAGCCTTTTAAATAGGGACACACCTCGCTGCCCCTGGGGAGTAATTATCTAAGCACAGGCAAGAAATCTTTTATAAACTGGAAGACATGGGTCCCGCCCCCTTTAAGTTTGTCAATAGTCCACCAGTTTAAAATGTGATTATTTCCATGTTTCTCAACTTTTATAAATGTTAAGTAAACAGTCAGATATTTGTTACAATTTATTTCTTTTTGTTGAAGCTTGGCTGGTCTGTTGGTCCCCAACATCTGATAAAGCATTTGCAGGTGGTTCAACAAAATACACTCTATACATGCCCAACTCCATTACAGGTAAGTACCAAGCAATGCAAAAGGTATTGTAAAGAGCGTGATACAGTGTAGGAGGTTTGAGCCACTAAATGTAATTAGAAATTGACTAATAAGGAATCTATTTGTGGGAATTGCAGATGAAATTAACACTTGAGCATGTAAATCCAATGTAGATTAGGATTTGAATTGTCAATAATTCAGACATTCTGTTATTAGCAGGAAAACAACAGACACAAGTGATGGGAGTTGGGATGAGTGATTACCATTGTATATAATACATACTGCCGTGCATCTGATGTGTAGTGAAATTCTCATTACTGCTTCGCAGGGTGATACAGACAACTGCCTTATACAGTGGTTACCTGGACCCTGTGGAAAGTTACTGTTTGGCAAATGTTTGTCTCTGTGCATCCTTTGGCTAGATTGTTTTCAGATCAAGGTGTATGCTTCCTAAATGTTTGGGGTTTTCTATACTATGTGGTAAGAAAGGAAGATCTGTAGACTTCATTTTTGTTTGTGTTTGTTTATTATTATTATCCACAGCATAAAAACAAGAATAAAACCACAAAGTACATAATAATAACAATAAGTACAAAAAAACCCACAATACCCCCCAACACATTTAAAAAGACCTAGACTGTTATTCAGCCAAAGGCTTGGTTGAAGAGGAACATTTTCGCCTGGCGCCTAAAGATGTATAATGAAGGCGACAGATGAATCTCCCCAGGGAGAGCATTCTACAAGCAGGGAGCCATTTAGAAAAGGCCCGTTCTTGTGTTACCATCCTCCGGACCTCTCATACAGAGGGCACATGAAAAAAGGCCTCAGAAAGACCTCAGATGATGATCACAGAGTTTTGTCACTTTATATGGGGAGAGGTGGTCCTTGAGGTATTGCAGCCCTGTGCCATATAGGAAAAGGAATGATAAATTCTTTATAATTTATATGTCATTATTAAAGCATTAAACATTAAAAAATCAGATACAAATTACTGAATTAATCACTGAAAATGAAGGTATTTGACTTTTAAAAATCTCATACTTGAAAGGAAATATATCTATTTTAGTGATAGATGTGTATCCAGCAATTTTAGAAGCATTTCCATCTGCCTTCTCCCCGCTCCTTGACTGCTAAACCCAATTGACAATCTTATTTTTACTCTTCACTGACTTTCTATTTTACTAGAATTTTACTAGAATGATCTGTTTTATTATGGAAAAACTGATAATTGGATTCTAGAGATCTGAGCATTTCTTTGAATACAGCTGTCAGGGGCTCAGGAGCAGAGGCGCAGGGGAGAGAGGAAATGGAGAGCGAAGGGGAAGAATCTGAGGGCAGCGGAGGGCAGAATGACAGTGACCCGAGAGATTCCATGAGCCTCTCCAGTGAATCAGAAGATTCCCAGAAGGGGGCGCCTATGGCCAGGGCAAGGGGGGTCCCAGGGGGGACACACCAGAAGCAGGGGGCCAGCGGAGACTCCCAAAGCAGTAGCTGGAAATCAGGGCCAGCTTCCCCGCCAGAGCGTAGTGAGAGGGAAGAGCCCCATAGGTCAGAGTCAGTGTCTCCTCCGGCAAGCAGGGAGGCGGAGTCAAGCCCAGCTGGCATCCCCGAAGAGGGAAGCAGCAACAGGAGCAGTATAACGGTCAGAAGGAAGGTGGCAGGCTGGGCGCGCGCGCCAAGTTCAAATGTACAGGTGCGCGGGACAGCAGAAAGCACGGATTGGGAACCAGGTCCTAAAGCTCGCTGGAGGGAGGGGGAAGACTCAGGGGATTCAGCCTCAGAAGAGTCTAGGAAGGGCAAGACCTCGGCGGACAAGCGGACCCAGAGGAAGAGGGAGCAGAGGAAGAGGTGGAGCAAAGCTAGGGTCTTAAACTGGTGTCTGGGGGGAGGAGACTCAGACGGAGCTTCGACGGTCTAGGGTTTCAGACGTAGGGCTGCGCGCCACAGCTGTCAAACCAATAATGAACTTCAATAAAGACTTCTGTATATAAAGAGGAACTGGCGTTGGTCCTTTGTGAGCTGGGACCAGGGGCAGCTCTGACAACAGCATTTCTTATTAAAAGTGAATCTTCACAAGGTCTGTTTTGTGCCTGCTGCTTTTTGATAATGTGCTTAAATGTGTGGTTCCCCCCCCTTTCCGGATTTGAATTTCCAGGAAGCTGTGGCACAAGCCTTTTTGATAGACTTGAAGCGCATGGATGACCCAGAGTGCTACTTCTATTCTTTGCCTAGAGAGCTGGAAGACAAACGAAACCGAATGGCTCACATGCTCCTGGGAGTTGGGCTGAAACCTGTTGTTCCAGAGGGAGGATACTTTATGATTGTTGACGTGTCTACATTAAGTAAGTGAAGATTTTATTCCATGGCTGTAATGGGGGTGATGACCCAGTACTGAAGCTGGGAGAAACATACTATGAGCAAAGGGAGAGCTACAGTGTGTGTGTTTTCTCTTCTGAGTAACAAATATTTTCACAAACATGGTAGTTGTCATACTGCACTTACAGCAGAACTAGGCAGCAATTACAGCTTGTTGTTGTGTTGCCCTTTAATGTGTAAGAACCCCACCACCACAAGCAGTCAGTGATATGGAACAGGATGGAAAAATACACAGGCTAACGACTTCATGATGTGAATTTTTCATTACAGAGAAAATGGTTGTGTGCCCATTGGCAGCAGACCCTTGTTATCGTAATGTCTAGCTCTCCCCTTAGAATGCAGCTTAAGAGCAATATCCTGGTACTCTGGGGAACAGTCCTGGGGGAAAAGAAGTGAAATAGCAGATCTTGCACTTTAGATCTTACCCTGGGCTCCAGATCCTTTCCATCTTGTTGTTGTTGTTTAGTCATGTCTGACTCTTCGTGACCCCATGGACCAGAGCACGCCAGGCACTCCTGTCTTCCACTGCCTCCTGCAGTTTGGTCAAACTCATGCTGGTTATGCCTGTTGTCTTTGTCCATGGAGTTTTCTTGGCAGGGATACTGGAGTGGCTTGCCAGTTCCTGCTCCAGGTGGATCACGTTTGGTCAAAACTCTCCACTATGACCTGTCCATCTTGGGTGGCCCTGCACTGCATAGCTCATAGCTTCTCTGAGTTATTCAAGCCCCTTCACCACGGCAAGGCAGTGATCCATGAAGGGGCCTTTCCATCTACTGTTCTGTAAAAAAATCTCTGCTGAAGTGCCCATACTGGGTAATGCCTTTCTTTTGAAAAATTGCAGCTCTTAAGGTGTTTTTCACCTCTTCTTTTTGTTTTAAAGATGTAGATCTGTCTGACATGGAAAAAGATAAACCTTATGATTATAAATTTGTGAAATGGATGATAAAATCTAAGGTAAGGATTGGTTTTATTTCTCCCTCCTACTCTTTGCTCAAATAACTGTGTCTTTAATTCTAACATCTAAGTGAGACTGTAAAACAGGTGGCCCTGATGTAGGGGATTGTGTGCTCATGGAAGGCTGCATACCCATTGCTAGGCTTGCAGATCTCTTCCCTGCTTCAGCAGAGATATAAGCCCTTTACTGACATCTGCTCTGTGGGATTTGCCTCTGCTAGGCTAGTCTGTGGCCTAGACACAACCACTACTTAAAGATCAGCTCCTTTGCTAGGAAGATGAGGGCAAACTGCTAGCCCAGGGTGCTTCCAGAATGCAACATTGCAGAATTCCTATATGGAAAGCACTTCTGTGCTTGAAGCAGTGAAGGAAATACTGCGGCAATCTGTTTGTAGCTTAATTCTGCTTCCCAGACTGTGCACATAAAAATTCCCACGTGTGAAATGTTCATCTATGATAGTACAGTGCTGTATTTTGCACATGGGAATTTTGTTAATGTGTGACGTGACCTTAATTAAGCTCTTGGGCTGCAGCCTTTAAACTCTCACAAAGATACAGTTACTAGAGCTTCCAAGAGCTAAGGTTTAAGCTGTTTTAACATACCTGCTGAGCATGCAATTGTGCTTTCTTCTTTTTTAAGAAACTGTCAGCTATTCCTCTCACCTCCTTCTGCGGCCCTGAGACCAAAGAACAGTTTGAAAAGTACATACGGTTTTGCTTCATCAAAGTAAGTTCTGTAGCATGTGCTTAAATAAAGCTTAATTGCTTAAGTCTTAGCAGGGCTGTTTGTTTCTATTAGTACCAAAACTTAGATCTTCTCCTTTCACTTTTAAGCAGTTTAAATAACTTTTTGATATTGCTCCTAATAATAATTTCTTAGGGTATGATCATATTTTACATCAAGGTGGGCAACCTCTTCTCCATCAAGGAGTAATCTGGAAACAAATCTGGATATCCTTAAAATTAATTTCATTTACTCCCGTCATCCTCTTCCCTCCCCATTTTCTTCCTCCTGCCAGCCACATGAAATTAGGCCAAGAGACACAAGTTGCCCACTCCTGATCTACATAGTGCTTTTTCTAAATAGTCACAGCCCAGTATTCCTAATAGTCCTGAAACCTAGGTCAGTGTGGGTAGCAGTTTGTGAACTAGCTGAGTTTTTAACTAGGAAACCTCTACTTCATGCTGTGAGCCATGATATGCTGGCTTCCCTTTATTTTTTCAGGGATGTGATGATAATTAAAACAAACTTTTCCTCTGCTCCGCAAATTGACAACTAGATTGGCTTGGTTCCAACTGCTGTATTGTCATAGGAGTGGGGGACCAGGTGTCTCTGAGTGCATCTCAACCTCACCAAACCATAGCTAGAGTTTATTGCTGGGGGAATGGGGCACATTGTAGATGTTAGCCACTGGGTAGACATACCCAGGTATTTGCCTACTCCAAACTCATGTGAGCATACATGCCACAAAAAGTACCTAATGAAGTTGTTAGAAGTGTGCTTCTGTGGATTTTCAGTCTTCTAGTAGTAAAATGTCTTACGCACATGAATAATATTTCAGTTCTGATTTTTAACTTTTATTGTGTTCATTGTTGACAGAAAGACAGCACCTTGGATGCAGCAGAAGTGATCCTGAAGAACTGGAAGAAAGATTGACCCAGAACTTAACCTCTTCTGCCATTTCTAGAAATATATGCTCAGTCATAAATTTATAACTAGACCAAGAATGTCACATTTCAGGTTACCCTTTCTAAATTACACTGTGCTGCCATCTGCTGGATATTTAATATTAATAATGTGAGCCAACATACTGGTTTTGACCTTGTAAAAATTATAGTCTGTTTTCCAAAATATTCAGTGGAAACCTTTTCCAGCAATCTTCTTTTCTTCTTTTCTAAACACACTGAAGTAAAATTTGTGCAGGCTACATCCACCAGAGCCCTGTTCTGTGACCTACTTTATACTTGTACAAATTATTAATGCATTTATTGCACCGCTTTGGTTTATTTTTGTCAAACAGCAGCCTTTCTGCAATCCAGACAAAATTCTGTATGAGGACATTGAGTGTGGATTTGTGGGCAGGGTCCTTGCTTTACATGGCTTGGCCAGCCAAGGGCATAGCATAGTAGCAGAGGAAAGGCAGCACAGATGGGCATGGGAGCTAGGCGTTGGAACAAGCAGTCTTTTCATTCAGTTCTATTGCTCATGATTAAGTGTGTGTGTGCCAACACACACACACACAGACAGACAGACAGACAGATGCACATAATTCACAAAAACGAATAATGCCTTGCAATCGGAATGAATAAGAAATGAGATCTGTACAGTATATTTTTGTGAATTCTATTGATTGTAGAGGGGAATGGATATGGAGATGAGAGGTCAGATTGCTCTAGAGTCTGTGTTTGCCATTTCCCCTTCTTGCATAAATAAGGCAAGCAATTATTATTTTTTTGCCAGCTATGCAAATGACACACGCTACCTCGCATAAACTGGATATAATTCTGTCCCCTCAAATTTTACCATTTTATTTTACAATTAACAATCCTGGAGGATCTGCTAGATATGTTACTTAGAATCACAGAATTGTAGAATTGGAAGGGACCCCAAGGATCCTCTAGTCCAACCCGTTGCAATCAGGGATCTCAGCTAAAGCATCCGTGACAGATGGCCATCCAACCTCTGCTTAAAAACCTCCAAGGAAGGTTTCACAATCTTTCGAAGGAGTCCATTCCACTGTCAAACAGCTCTTACCACCACGAGGTTATTCCTGATGTTTAGTCGGAATTTCCTTTTTTGTAACTTGAAGCCATTTGCTCAGGTCCTATGATTTGATTTAACAAATAAATAAAAGTGAAAATTTGGCATAAACCTTGACTGCTTTCTTCCACTGATGTTGTTAACAAGCAAAATAGTGTATTCCTTAAACTTGCCAGAGAAACAGGTTTACAGAAACAGATTCTGCTCCCCTCCCCCTGCTCAATTTAAGAACTAATAATTTGGAAATAGCTTCATAGGACTAATCTTAAAACAGGTTTATAGCCGGATTGTGTGCATATTTGCTTGGAAGGATTTCAGTTGACCTTCCTTCAAAGTAACTTCATAGGATTGTAGACCTTATGGAGTGAGGCTATGCCTGTTTACTCAGAAGGAAGTCTCACTGTATTCTGTACCTGTTTACTCCCAGGTAAGTAAATCCTGCATGTTTCTTTTAAATCTATACTTACCTGAGACTTATCTCATAAGTGTGCATAAGATTCTAGCCTCAGGGTAGTATTGTGGTCTGGAGAATATGAACATATGTCACATACCTGTGGACACAAAGTTAAATCCTACACAAACCACTGGACAGTAAATCCCATTGCAATTGCATTTGCATTGGGTGAGCCTTGCATATAATTTCAACTAAGCACAGAACTGCCAGCCATCCCTTATTTCAGAATTTGAGAGTTTTATTTCTAAAACTTTGGATTATCAAAACAAACTGAAATGGATAGAAATGGTTTTGTAAGCTTGATTTTATGCCATGTAATATTTACTTTTTCTAACTTTACTGATTTTTTTAAAAGTTGCTTTATTTTATTCTGCAATGCTGCTCAGAAATTGTTACAGGATGGTTAATCAATATTGTATGCAATACAGTATAAAATAAAATTAGATATCATTTAACAATAGTGCTCTCCTAGCCCTGTCACCCACTGTAACCTCGCAGAAAAATGTGACATTTGATTTCAGGAAAGGATTTTTTTGTTTCATTTCATTTTTTACAAATTGACAATTTGTAACTTCAGCTGATGAGTGGAAAAGGTCAACAAGAGCTTGTTTTTGACAACTTCTGTTGGCAGTGGATTTGACGAGAGTCGGAACAGACGCGTTTTGTCATTCATCTGATTTTGCTAATGCAGCTTACGAAACACCCAGAAATAATAGTTACGGGACTAAGAAGGCAACATCATGGTCATATTATAGTTCAATATGTGCTAGGGCTTGTTTCGGGTTGTTTGTTTTTATTACGTATTTTGTGTTTTTATATTGTGATTTCATGTTGCAACCAAGTGTTGCATGAGCTCAGGTCTAACCAGATCGCCGAGAGATGGTGAAGTCCCCAGGTGAAAGAATGCCTTGCACCACTTCAGACTGGGGAAGTTGGTCATACTTCTGAGTTAGCCCTACTCCACCATCTCTGTTAAGAACGGAGCTGCCCTATGCTTTCCAAATTTCACCTGCGTTTGTTTCCAACCCAGGTGCTGGTTATAAAGTAAAAAATTCTTCCTAAGTAGTACCTGCACCTGCTTTTTCTTCCTGCCCTACCCCTTTCTCCTTATGTGTCACAGAGTGCAAGCCTGAGGGTGAGTTTTTTTTAAAAAATTAAATTTTAGGGACAGTTTTGGCATGGGCGTAGTCGAGGGGGGCAGCTGCCCCATCAATAAAAATCTGAGGTTCTGCCCCTCCCCCAAATCGTGAATACGCCCATGCTAGAGTGGGGTTAAAACTGCGGGGTTTTTTTGTTTTTTACAAAAAAAATGAATTTATTAATGGGGAACATTTAGGCAAAATAGAGGACACATTTGCCACCACCTACTTTTAACTGGATGGCTATGACGACTCTACCCATGGAAAAGAGGAGGCGTCCTCGGAAAAGAGGACCTATGGCAACCCGATCACCGCCTCCCATCCTAACCAGGACCCACCCACGTACTCTGCCCCGCCTTTGAGCGTCGCCGCGAAGGCAAATCCTTCTTGTCCCGCTAGGCTCCCCGTAGCCGCGGCCTCGGCGAAGCCCCGCCTACCGAGGCGTCGAAAGCATAAAAGCCCGTCGGCCCGCCCCGGCCGCCCAGCCGCGCGCAAGGGGAGGAAGGAAGATGGCTTCCACCAGCCGGTCAGTAGCACAAGTTGCCGGGCGCTTCTCTAGATATAGGAAAGCAGGGGAAAGGGCAGAGGGGTGCGTCCGGGCTCGGGGTGGCGGCGGGGGAAGGAGAGCGGCCTGAGAAGGCGCAGCCTCGCCGCGGCTTGGGCTCCTCTGAGGGGGAAGGTAGGCCCGCCGCCTCCAGTTGCCCTATCCGGTCTCCCTTTACCTCGCTCGCCGCTCTCCTCCGGCCGCCTCAGCTTGGGCGGCGGCCTTTTCCGCGGGGCCTTGGTTTTTTCTCCTCAGCCCACTCCCGCCGCCGCCGCCAAGGATACTCTGCTCGCTTTCCAGACGCCCCGGTGGCCTCAGGTGGTGGTGGAGGACGCGGCTTGGGACGCCTTAGGCCACCTGCGCTTCTTCGCCGACCCCGTTTAAACGGACGGTGCCTTGAAAGCATCTCCCCGCCCCCCAGAAAGGATTCTGGGAACTGTAGTTCGCCCACCGCAGAGCTACAGTTCCCAGCACTCTGAACACCCCCATATGGCTTGTAGGCAACTTTTGACTCCCCCACCAAAGCCATGTGACTTGCTATACCATGAATTCTTTTCTCTCTCCCCACCCCCCATCCAAATTAATTTTTATTGGTTTTCCAAATCATTGCCACGCTGAATTAAGTTTTAGACAATTTCGTTTTCTCCCCAAAACTGGTTTCGCAGCAATGCCACATTTCAAGCGGCGGGTGATTCTTTGCCTAGGAGACAACTCCTAGGGGCTGAGGTCCCTTTGGCCCCTCCAGTAAAATATTGGGGAGGGGGCTTCCCCTTCCCCCAAAGTTGATGGGCATTCCCATTCAAATGGTGGGCATGTGCGGTGTCATGCTTAGAATAGTTTATTCTTTTGTTAATTGTGTGTTTTATATTTGACTTAACTTAAATGTTTTCTTTTGAAATATTTAAGATTTTTTTGTTAACTTTGTTAAATATGTATTCTGTAGTTGACCTCCTTTGTAACATTTTATTTTGAACTCTTTAAGATAATAGTTTAGTTTCCTATTCATTATGTTGCTTTTGCTGTATACATTATCTTTCTTCAGTAATGCTTAATTCTGGATTGCTTTATTGATGTTTTAATGTGCTGTAAACTACTTTGAGATTTTTCTTAAAAATATGTTGGCACCCATGGGCATAGCCAAGAGGGGTCAGGGAGGGGCAGCTGCCCCCCCATCAATAAAATACATAGCAATACCCCCCATAAAATACATAGCAAACTGAGGTTCTGCCCCTGCCCTAACAAAAGGCCCAACAAAAATCCTGGCTACGCTTATGTTGGCACCCTGATTCTTTGCCAGTACTGGGAAGGATGCAGTAAAGCTGCAGGGCCAGGCAGGCACATCTCAGTAGGGTTAGGGTGAAATCTGATGGGTGTGCTGGGAGCAAGGCTGCTGTTCAGTCCTCCAGGTGTTGCTGAGCTACAGCTCACATCTGGAAGGCCATAGATTAGCCATTCCTGCTGAGGGGAGTTCCCAGGATAGCCAGCTGACTTCGGGATGGGGCTTCCTTAGCTTGCAGCTTGTTGAGCAGGAACTGGGAGATAAACCTGCTAATGTTTTTAATATGGAGCTCAATTCATAGGAACAGCAGCTGGCATCTCCAAAGAGTCCTTGCTTTACCTGGAGCCGTGCTCTGGGTGGCTGCACCTGATTTCTAGGCCTCATGTTTCTGTGTTGAGGAAATCACTTGTTTGGATGACGGCTCTTTGGCAGAGCTGGAAATTCACCCTCAAGATATTTCTAAATGCAGAGTATATGCAAATGTTTGTTGTAACATTAGGGTCTAAAGTTGCTTTCGTAATACATTTTTGGGGAAGCAATTGTGTGAGCAGAGCTGTTTTGGGTCCTGTCTGTATGCTGTCTGTTGGGGTCTCCCTCTCTTGCAACATCCTACTGTTCTTATTTTTTCTAATGTTTTGTCAGAAGAGATGTTTATATTGTACATATTGTAATCCTTAATTGTAATGCTTTGTTTTGAAGTTGGATAAGGTTTGGAGGGATGAGGAGAGGAAGTTTGGGATTGCTTTATTAATTTTGTTCAGGTTGACATTTTAAAATCCAGTGTATTTGGAGTGAAGGCTGGCCTCATCAGATATACTTAGAAGGATCTTTATGACTCTTTGCAATCCTCTTCTGTGAGACAGGGGACATACTGTTAAGTTGCACACCCATGAAAGTTCTTTGTTGGGCAACATTCTGACTACTTAGACTTGCTTTCCAGATTTGCAGTTGGCCTAGATTAGTAATGTGATTTGCAATTGGCCTAGACTAGTAACATGAAACAGATCATTTTGTACATGGAATTCACTTACTAATTTACTCACGTTGACACTATCTGCGCCAACTAGTGCTAAATGGT